ACTTGAATCCAAAGAGGAATCTGAGGCCAGATCCCACAGGACTTTGAATCCATGGTAAAAGGTTTGGACTTTATTTCGAGGGTCCTAGAAAGTCTATGGAGGGTACTGAGCTGGGAGTATACTTCAGTGGTGTTTTTTAAAAAATCACTCTGGGGCACCTGGGTGGCTCAGTCTGTTGGGCGTCCTGACTTCGGCTCAGGTCGTTATCTCCCGTGGGTTCAAGTCCTGCGTTGGGCTCTGTGCTCACAGCTTGGAGCCTGGAGCCTGTTTCAGATTCTGTGTCTCCCTCACTCTCTGCCCCTCCCCCGCTCGTGCTCTGTCTCTCAAAAATAAACATTTTTTTTATTAAATAAATAAATCACTCTGACATGAGGTGGAGAATAGGCTCTAAGGAGGTAAGAGAGGAAGCAGAGACACTCAGCAGGCGATTATTACATCGGGATCTGATGGTGGCTCAAACAAGGTGTATTAGTTTCCTGTGGCTGCTGTAACAAATTACCTTAGTGATTTAGAACAACAGAAATTTATTCTTTTACAATTCTGGAGGCTAAAAGTCCAAAATCTGTTACATTGGGCCAAATTTAAGGTGTTGGCAGGGCTGTGCTCCCTCTGAAGGCTCCAGGGAAAATCCATTCCTTGCCTCTTCCAGCTTCTAACTGGCTGATGGCCACATCACTCCAATCTTCAAGGCCAGCATCTTCAAAACTCTCTCTGCCTCATCTCCACATTGTTCGTGTGTGTGTGTATGTGTGTGTGTGTGTGTGTGTGTGTGTGTGACAGACAGACAAACAGAATCTCCCTCTGCCTCTCTCTTAAAAGGACAGTTATAACGGCATTTAGAGACCACCCAGATAATCCAGGACCATCTCACTCATCTTAAGATCCTTTTTGTAAAGTTTGTTTGTTTGTTTGTTTGTTTGTTTGTTTGTTTGTTTTGAGAGACAGAGAGAACATGAAAAGGAGGGAGAGAGAGAAGAGAGGGAAGGAATCCCAAGCAGGCTCCATGCTGTCAGAACAGAGCCAAATGCAGAGCTTGAACTCCCAACCCATGAGATCATAACCTGAACCAAAATCAAGAGTGGGTCACTTAACCAACTGGGCCACCCAGGCGCCCCATCCATCTCAAGATCCTTAACCATGCTGGCAAAGATCCTTTTTCAAAATAAGGTAACATTTACAGGTTCCAGGGATTATGACCTGATATCTTTGGAAGCCATTGTTCAGTCCAAGGGTTAGCAAAAAAACATTTTTTTTCAATAAAGGACCAGATAGTAAATATTTAAGCTTTGCAAACCCTGTAATCTCTGTCATAACTACTCAACTGTTACACCTGCTGTGGCAGTGCAAAAGCAACCATGGACAATATCTAAACAAATAGCCATGGCTATGTTCCAAATGAACTTTATTTACAAAAACGGGAGGCAGGTCATAGACCAAGATGGGGGACTTAAGAGAGAGGTGGATTTGGACTATGTATTGAAGGTAGAGATATTGCTTGGGTTTTGCTAAAGCATAGGATGTGAAGGATAAAGGAAAGAAGTGCTTTGGGCCAAGGTTTGGCTCCTAGGATATTGGCCTCAGCAATTGAGTTGGTAAGTGTTGCCACTTAAAGATTGGGGAGAAGCAAGTTTAGGAGAGGCATCCAGATTTCCATTTAGGACATGTTAATTCTGAAATGCATATCAGATATCCAGGTGGAGACGTCAAGAAGGCGACCAGATATATGCATGTGAGGCACAGAGAGGTTGTGGCTGGAGATACAAATCGGGGAGCAATCAGCATCCAATGGCATCTAAGACCATGGGACTGATGAAGGTTTCCTAGGGCATTGGGAGTATAATTTACTCTCTTAATCATCATTTTCAAAAAGCTTATAAAAATCATGACTCTCTGGGCGCCTGGGCGGCTCAGTCACTTAAGCATTCAACTCTTGGTTTCAGCTCAGGTCATGATTTCACGGTTCGTGAGATCGAGCCCCACATCAGGCTCTGAGCTGACAATGCTGAGCCTGCTTGGGATACTCTGTCTCCCTCTCTCTCTGGCTTCCCCAGTTCTCTCTCTCTCTCTCTCTCTCAAAACAAATAAGCTTTAAAAAAATTATGACCCTCACACAAAGATACAGTGAGTGCGTGTCGAGAATTGTCTCTAGCTCCTTAGGTTATGGGGGAACCAGTAAGATACTGACACCTGTTGGAAGAAGAATTTGAAGAAGAGAAGTATATTTATAGGCAAGCAGGAATGCGTGGTCCAAGATGCAAAAGTGGTTCATATCCTATGGCGCAATGAAGTCTCATGTTTTCCTGAGGGCAGAACTCAGTTGTGTCTACGGGTAAGAATCTTCTGTATTCCTCACAGATTTCTGCTCCTACCAGGTCCACAGAAAGGCAGTTAAATGTGTTCACTCCAGGGGTGCCTGGGTGGCTCAGTCAGTTAAGTATCTGACTCTTGATCTCAGCCTCAGGTCATGATCTCACGGTTCGTGGAATAGAACCCCACACTGGGCTCTGTGCCGATGGTGGGGAGCCTGCTTGGGACTCTCTCTCTCTCTCTCTCTCTCTCTGCCCCTCTCCCCCTCTCAAAATAAACATTTTTTTTATGAAGGTGCTCACTCCGGTAGAATCACTCCCTCCCCAGAGGGTCCCCCAGGCAATGCCCAATGTTTTGCTAAAAGGACAATCTTGCTCATTTCCAAATCTTGGACAACCTTTCCTGTTCTTGTGATTCCACATTTATTGAGCACCTACTAAGTGACAGGCACCATTCAGTGCAATGAAAGTACATCACTGAACAGAAAACACATATTTCTGCTTTCCTGATGCTCACCTTCTAGGGAAGGCAATAAACATAATAAAGAAAGTCTATAGTATGTGAGAAGTCCATAAATGGTACAGAAAAAAAAAAGTGGAGCAGGTCAGAGGGGATCAGGAGGACCAGAGTTGGGGAGATGTAGTTTGAAATCGAAATGGTCAGGTCAAAGGCCAATTAGCTCAGCAGGTTAGATCAGGGTGCTGACAGAAAGCGTCAGGGTAGATATCATCGTGAACTTGACCTTGGCAGGACGAGTGGGGAGTCTGCTGGCTCAGTCGGTGGGGCATGGGACTCTTGATCTCAGGGTTATGGGTTTGAGCCCCATGCTGGGTGTAGAGATTACATACGTACATACATACATACATACATAAATTTTTAAAAATTGACATTCGGGGGCACCTGGATGGCTCAGTCGCTTTAGTGTCCGACTTCCACTCAGGTCATGATCTCACACTCCTTGAGTTTGAGCCCCCGCATCGGGCTCTGTGCTGACAGCTCGGAGCCTAGAGCCTGCTTCGGATTCTGTGTCTCCCTCTCTCTCTGCCACTCCCCTGCTCTCTCTCTCTCTCTCTCTCTCTCTCTCTCTTTCTCTCTCTCTCAAAAATAAATAAACATCAACAAAATTTTTTTAATTGACATTTGGGCAAAGAGTTGAAAGAGCTGAGGTAGTTAACCTCATGGATATCAGGGAGAAGTTTGCTTAAAAGACAAAAAGCATTTGGAATTTTTTAAAATTTTTTTAACATTTGTTCATTTTTGAAAGACAGAGACACAGCATGAGCAGGGAAGGGGCAGAGAGAGGAAGACACCGAATCCAAAGCAGGCTCCAGTCTCTGAGCTGTCAGCACAGAGCCCGACGCGGGGCTCCAACCCGTGAACCGTGAGAGATCACAACCTGAGCCGAAGTCGGACGCTCAACCGACGGAGCCACCCAGGAGCCCCGTATTTGGAATTTTTAAAAAAGAAGGTTAATTTTGTTTTTAATTAGTGAAGGAAAAAAATGTAAGCAGTAAAATTTGAGTCATAGATTGAGCCAAAACAGTTTGTTTCCCTGCCGGCGACGCCTTCTTTCCGATTCTAAGCAGACTGTGATGCCGTGGGTACAAGATAAATGTTAATCAGAAGGATGATTCTAACAGTCCTGATCTCTTCGCCCTTTTCAGAGTGAAAATTGGGTCTTCTTTCTCATTGGAGAGGAGTCCCATCTGCCTTGGTCTCCCACCCACAAAGAATTTGACTGCATGTGTGACAAATACTTAGAGGAAAAATTAAACTTTTAGTAGTAAATAGCAATTCAAACATAGGTTTCTCGAAAGAGAATTTGCTGGTTAATGGAAGCACTGCTCTGGAGTAGACCCGGAACTCCTGATGTGGTTTCTAAAACTCTGCGATAGTAAACGTAGGAAAATGAAGTTTTGTTTCTCTGTTCTCTGTTGGTGTTGGGGGTGGGGGGCGGTGCTGGGGTTACTTCCATTTTAATTCAAACTGTAAAGCAGAGCCTCGAGACCTGGGCAAAGCTTTCTCACAGCACAATTTTCTTCTGTGACAAAAGATTTCTTTCTTTTTCATCTTGTCAAACATAATCACTCACAGATAAAGTCAATTTGCTCTTTTTGCCTTCGTGTTGGGCTATTTCCTTTTGCCAGCTGACTAACGTTTTCTAGGGCAGGTTGGAATTAATCATTCAGCACCCTGAGATTTTTCAGGCCAGCCGGGACTGAGGATTCGAAACAATAAAATCCACAGTTCGCCCTCTGACAAAGGACCTCACACTTGGCGAGGAGTGGACCACAAACCACCTTAGAAAACAACAGTTTGGGGGCGTCTGGGGGGCTCAGTCAGTTGAGCGTCTGACTTCGGCTCGGGTCACGATCTCACAGCTTGTGAGTTCGAGCCCCGCATCGGGCTCTGTGCTGACAGCTCAAAGACTGGAGCCTGCTTTGGATTTGGTGTCTTCCTCTCTCTGCCCCTCCCCCACTTGCACTCTGTCTCTCAAAAATAAAAATAAACATAAGAAAATTTTTTAAAAAAAGAAAAAAAGGGGCGCCTCGGTGGCTCAGTCGTTTGGGCATCCGACTTCAGCCCAGGTCATGAGCCGGTTCGTGAGTTCGGGCTCCACGTCGGGCTCTGCGCTAACAACTCAGAGCCTGGAGCCTCGGATTCTGTGTCTCCCTCTCTCTCTGCCCCACCCCCACTTGTGCTCCAACTCTCTCAAAAATAAATACACATTAAAAAAAGTTTTTTGTTTTTTTTTTTTTTTTGAAGAGAAAACCGGTTGGGAAAATTTCCCCTAATAAATAGCCCAGTCCTGATTCTCCGGATCTGGAAAATGTGCTCATTTGTCACCCTAACTAGAAGTCATTTGGTGCTAATTATTCTAGAACTGGTGGCCGTTCTCCACTTCCCCAAGGGGCCTCCCCGTCAAGTGCAAGCACACTTCATTGTTTTATCTGTGACAAACCCCAAGCCTGCCTTGTGGGGTTTCAACCCGGAGGCTCTGGGCCCTGAATGCTGGTTCTCCACTCACTGTCTTCGAGTGACCTGAAACGCCATGATCTTGCCACCAGGCTGGAGCCTTCGCAGGCCCCTCCTGCAGAGCCAACCTCCTCCTGCCTGTGCTCAAAAACCCGGGCCACTTGCCCTTCTCACGTCTGGAGCTTCAGGCCCAAGAGGCAGAACGCGGTGCCCAGCGCACAGGAACAGCAGGCCGAGAGCAGCCAGGCTTTTAGGCCAGCCGGCCAGGGTGCTAGAATAAATGTCAAGGGATATTTGCTGCAAAGAGGCTCCAGAAATAATGTAAAATTGTTCTGTCCTTTTAAAAATGGAAAATGCCTTGGCAGGGTGATATATTATTTGCCTGGCTGCATTTTCTCTCTGTCTCCGTCAAGGCTTGGAAAGGACTGGCACTTCTGCCTTTTCAAGCGGAGCTCAGTGTAACTGGACCACATCTAATGCCTGTACGATGCAAATGAAGATTGAAAGTGTTGTTTCCTTTGATGTGTGTGACTAAATGCTCAAAGGGGATATTTTCTTTTCGATCCTCCAGCGGATAGAGCCTCTTTAAAAATACCTGTTGGCTCCCTTTCCCCACTGGCGATTGCCGTAATTCCTGCATTGGAGACGGAGGTTGGGTACGGTCATGATGAATGTCTTTCTCTGAGAAGAATCCCCTGCTCGTGTTTGCAAGGATTGTTAAAGCCCGGGAGGGAATTAAGAAGCGTGAAAGGCACGTTAATGATGGGTGTCTGCAATGAGCCACTCAGGCTTTCCTGGAAAAGTCCAGAGAGCGCATTTTAAGAGCGAAGTTGGGGAGGTGGATGAGTCACGGCCGGGCTTTGCGGTGACGCCAGCTCTTTCTGGCACCCAGTGGCACAAAGGGCCCGGGAAGCTGGTGGGACCCCCGTTGGCAAGAGAGGCTGACCCACAGGTTGGCCGTTCTGTCTTACCCCTCGTCTCCTCCGCCAGCGGCCGAAACAATCCTCACCGGTGCCGGGGGGATCCTAGCTCTTCTCTCTGAATCTGGGTGGTTTCTGGAGACACACAAACACACGCAAGGAAATTAATAGCTCTGAGCGTTGTCAGAGCTCCCGGCCTCCAAACTGGCTGAGCTGGGCGCCTTGAACCACTTTCGAAGTGAGAAGAAGCCGCACCGTGATCCCACCTCAGCTACTTTGTCCTCCACACCCACGTTCAGCGAGGCAATCTACAAGAGACACTTCCATGGGAAAGCAAACACAAACAAACAAACATTTGGATCCATCTGGGACATTTCCTTTACTTTTCATGTCACCTCCTTCCTATAGTGTCTCACCCGGGAGGAAGCTGGAACGCGGATTGTTCTGGAGACGGGAGACTAGTGGGGAGGTCCAGGATAACAGGGGCTCGTCACATCCCGTTGCTCAGGGACCTGAGCAATAAATAATGAATGAAGAATGAGTGAATGAGTGAATGAATGAATAGCCCAGCCCTATCCAGAGGAACCACATTGTTTCGGGGGCAGGAAATTCACATAGAGAGGCAGGAAAGGTAGCCCTTGAGTGGATGCTGTGCTAATCTGCTCCAGCAGCCATAACATGGTGCCATCGACAGGGTGGGGCTTACATAACAGAAAGTTACTTTCTCACAATTCTGGAGGCTGGATGTCACAGAGCAGGGGTCGGCAGGTTTCGTGCCTCCTGAGGCCTCTCTCTCTGGTTTGTAGATAGCTGTCTCCTCCAGTGTGCCCTTGCAAGATCTTCCCTCTGCACACAAGCATTCTTGGTGTCTCTGTGAGTCCCAATTTCCACTTCTTAGAAGGAAGCCGGTCCTACTCAATTAGGACCCGCCCTGTTGAGCTCATTTTAATAGAACCACCCTTTACAAGGTCCTGTCTCCAAATATAGTCACATTCTGAGGCACCAAGGGTTAGGGCTTCAAGGTACCAATCTTTTTTTTATTTACTTACTTTTTTTTTTCAACGTTTATTTATTTTTGGGACAGAGAGAGACAGAGCATGAACCGGGGGAGGCGCAGAGAGAGAGGGAGACACAGAATCGGAAACAGGCTCCAGGCTCTGAGCTGTCAGCACAGAGCCCGACGCGGGGCTCGAACTCACGGACCGCGAGATCGTGGCCTGGTTGAAGTCGGACGCTTAACCGACTGCGCCACCCAGGCGCCCCTATTTACTTACTTTTTAAAATGTCTATTGATATTTGAGAGAGAGAGAGAGAGAGAGAGAGAGCACAGCAGGGGGTGGACAGAGAGAGGGTGTGAGGATCTGAAACGGGCTCTGTGCTGACAGCAAAAACCCTGATGTGGGGCTTGAACTTACAACCGTTAAGACCATGACCTGAGCCGCAGTTGGACACTTCACGGACTGAGTCACCCAGGCGCCCCCAATACGTTGGTGCTTCTTAATGCAGAAGAGCACTGGTCTCCTTTCCTGCCCTGTTAGCTGGGGCTACATTCTCCAGGCCTTTCATCCAAAACATGTTATGCAAGTATCCCTTCAGTGTAAACCCTGATGTACTTTTGTCTTTTAAGATCCTGGTTTCCTTCCTCTCTTCTCTCATCCGTGTCCTGAGAGGCAGCATGATATGTCAGCAGGTGCTGGTGGCCTCCTGGCTCTGCCCATGCACGCTGTTGCCTGGCAGGTGTCTCGACGTTGCTGAGGGCCCCCCTCATCTGCAGGAGGGGCCCGATCGTCCCCGCCCTGCCTGCCTCACAGTATCACTGTGATGATCTCACAATGTCATGTTTATGTGTCCAACCGGCTACATGCGCCTGCCGAGGTGTATAAATCTCAGAATAAACAAGTCCATCTTTCTCGAGCATCTGTTTTAAAATATGATCGTTATATTAAAATAAGCACAGATGCATTAGGAAGCAGAACAAAAAAATTGGCATGAAACGCAAATAAAACTGAAGATTTCAAATAAAATGTGTCCTTGCTGCTGCCTATGTGTTTCTGTCGTCCCGGGTACTGGGGTGGGGCGGGGGGAGTTGGAGCAGTGCTAGTATGCCATGAAGATGTATGAGGCCGCTCTCCAGGTACTGATAGGGAACAATTGCCAAGATATATTACAAAGTGAAAAAATCCAGGTGCAGAACAAGGTGTTACCATTTGTTTAAAAAAAAAAGCAGGGGGCGTGTGGGTATTTATAAATGCTCGTGAATGCCAAGCACACTTTGGAGTCCTACAAGGAAACCCGTAACGGGGTTACCTCGGAGATAAAGACCTGGGGACCTGGGAGACAGGGATGGGAAGGAGACCTCTCACCATGAACCTTCCTGTATGACCTGATTTTTCAAAACATATATGGAGTACCTGTTTTGAAAACGCATTGTTTTTAAAAGCCACAGTTCCTATTTTAAAATTAATTCATTATCGTTATTCAGATGATAGTCATCAGAGTTACGTGGAGTATATGAGTACATGAACTATATGAGTTACATGAATATGTGGCTATATGAACCATATGAGTTATATAGAGTATTTGGGTACGTGAATATATAGAGTAACGAATATATGGAGTTTGTGAATATTCAGGGTGAGACACCTTGGATGCAGCCCTGGGCAATGCTAACATTGATGAAGTGATTGGATTGGAGACTGAGCAGAAAGAAAGAAAGAAAGAAAGAAAGAAAGAACTATAAAAGCAGAAAAGAGAAGGAGGAATCGAAGAAAGCCACAGAGAAGCCAAGTCAGAACCAATTCACACCCACTAGGACGACTACCATGGAAAGAAAAATAAAATACAACAGAGTAACAAGTGTCAGGATGGGATGGAGGAATCGGAACCCTGGGCGCTGCCAGGGGGCTTGGAGGATGGCTCTTGCTGGGGAAACAGTGTGGCGATTCCTGAAACAATTAAGCATAGAATGACCCTATGACCCAGCGCTCCTACACTCAGGCATACACCCTGAAGACCTCAAAGCATTCGTACACACACGTTTGTAGAAACATCATTCACAATAGCGAGAGGTGAAAGCAACCCAAATGTCCATCCCTGGATGAACGGATAACCAAACTGTGGTATTCGCGCAATGGGACGTCATTCACCTCTAAAAAGGAATGAAGTTCTGACCTTGCTGCCGCACGAACGCATCTTGAAGACAATATGCGACGTCTCAAATAAACCAGTCACGCAGGAACAAACAGTGTACGATTCCACTTCCGTGAGGCCCCTGGAGTAGTCAAGTTCGCGGAGACAGAAAGTGGAACAGAGGTTGTGTAATACAAGGCGGGGGGTGAGCCTGGGGCATTAGTGTTTCACGAGGGCAGTTCCAGCTGGGAAACGTGAGAAAGAAAGTTCTGGAGGTGGACGGTGGGACGGCTGCTCAGCAATGAGGATGTACTTGATGTCCCCTGAACTGCTGGTTAACATAGCAGATTTCACGTCACGTGTGTTTTGCCACCGCAACAAAAACATCCAGTTACAGGATGGGTGTGAGTCCAGCCTGGCAGTTACCAGGGATTTCGATGAGCGCGGCGTCTGGGAAGGCAAAAGGGCAGAAGCCAAATGAGAGAGCATAGGACAGGAAGACTCTGACAGGGCGCCCATAGAAGTTGGCAGAAAGGTGGGGTGGCGGCTAAGGACTTTTCTGGACTTTTCTGCTCCCTTGGCCAGGCCTGGGCTCCAGGATCACTGCTGGTGCCGAGGTAGGAGGGGGAGGCTGTCCGTGCCCACTCCGAGAGACCCTCTGGCCTCTTCCAAGCCAGCCTGCTCCTCCCCTTCCCCTCCGTTGTGAACACTCTTCAGTTTTCTTACGGTTCAGGCTTTCAGAAACAAGGGCCAGCATCTTGCAGCTCCCCCCACAATCTGCCAGTCCCAGAGCTTGTCAGAGGCAATGAAATGCACAGCCAGCTGCCTACCTGAACAAGGGGAAGGAAAAAGAGAAAATACAGAGAAAGAGAAAACCATACCTAGTGCACATGTTTCCTGGGGTCTCAGAGCCCATGTGCGGCTCCTTACTGGCTGAGACCATCAAGGGGAATGCGCTTTCTAGCACCTCCCCTCCGCAGACTTATGTTCGATCCCCTCCTCCTCCCCCGTGCGGTCTTCCCAATGCTCCCATGCCACGGTCCACCTACCCTTACGCTTGACATCAGAATTTACTCAACACATTGTTCATTAGCACCTGCCATGTTGCATCCCCTGAAGCGAGGCACGGAAGGGCCTTTCCGCTTGTGGATTTTAACATTCTTGCAGCGGGAGACGGCTAACAAAGTTTAAAAGTTAAGTATATATGTGAGATAGTGTTAATGCTATAGGAAAACAAAAAAAAAAAGTCCAGAAATAGGGAAAAGAGAGAGCACGAGTGAGGAATGGAATTTCAATTTCCAAAAGGGCAATCGGGGAAAGCAAGCCTCAGGGTGATATTTGAGCAAAAAATCAAAGCAGGTGAGGAAGAGCCCTGTGGGTCTCTGGGGGAAGAGCATCCCAGGCAGGAGGGAGAGTCAGTGCAAAGGCCCTGAGACAGGCATTTCCCTTGTGGATTGGAGGAAGAATAAGAGGGTAAACTGTTGCACTTGAGTGAGCACAGGAAAACAGTGGGAGATGTGCTCAGAGTTTAAAGACGTGAGCAAGCAGATCTGACGGTGTGGCTTTGCTACCAACGTTAGGACTTTGGCCCCACTAGCTCCTTCCCAACACCATCCCAAAGGCTCCACCTAAAACATGTGAGCTTGGAGTTTCTCTACTACATGGCAAAACTCGTAACCCAGAGTTTACTTCCCATCTATTCTGCCAGGTGGAGAATGAACCTGTTACAAATGTTAATAATTTAAGAATAAGATGTGACTGATTGGGTAGCCCGTTCCTTTTCTTAGAGAACCAGAATGCAGCCAAATCACAGCCCTGTCATTTCTTGGTTGTCAGAGTCACCATCGATGTGGCATACGCGTCAGGAGAGTAAAAGATTGATTTCCACGTTTCTTTGTTAAACATGGACGGTTCTGTAAAAACCTGCCTACCTTCAGAGTACTGAGAAGTCAGGGGTGTTAGCAGTGGGTGTGTCCCCGAGTGAGTAATGCACGCCCTTTTCTGGCAGGGCACACCTCTGGATCCGTGGTCCTCAAGGTGGGCGTCCCTGGATAAGCTGCGTCCATAATTTTCTGGGAAACCAGGAGAAATGCAGATCCTGGGGTACTATTCGAGACACACAGAGTCAGAAAATCCTAGAAAAGAGGAGCCCAGCGCTCTGTGTCTTAACAACCACCTCCCCCCAGGTGATTTTTTTAATATTTTTTTTTAAGTTTATTTATTTACTTTGAGAGAGAGAGCAGGAACACACGGGCAGGGGAGGGGCAGAGAGAGAGAAGAGACAGAGGATCCCAAGCAGGCTCTATGCTGTCAATGCAGAGCCCAATGTGAGGCTCGAACCCACAAACAGCAAAATCAAGACCTGAGCCGAATCCAAAAGGCGGACGCTTCACTGACTGAGCCACATAGGTGCCCCTTCCCCAGATGATCCTGAGGGGCGCTGAGCCTTGAGAAGCATTTTCCAGACGACCACACCCCCCCCCCGCCCCTTTAATCCCTGCCTTCGGGAGGGGTAGACATTGGGAAGTCGGAATGAGAAGAGAGAGACTTTTCTTTATGCCTTTAGCTTCCGGGTTCCCTAGCTGGAGTTTTCTTTATAGATGGTCTCTGCTTATTTAAGACGCGCACATGTGAGCATCCAGGCATTTTGTCATGGGCACTCAACCACACACACACACACACACACACACACACACATGCACACCTATGTGCCCAGTTGCTCTAGCAAGCCTGACACAACCAGATGACTTCTCCAGTTCCTCCCTGTACGCGGGGCAACGTTGAGACCTTTTGCCAGTTACAAAGTTTCTCCGCAGAGGAAAACAGTGGTAAAAATGCGAAACGATGTTGTTTTTCAAACACGAGTCAAACATGAGGCTCACTTTTTCAGTGTTTGCGTGATCAGGATAAAACCAACTGTTCTTTTGGCTAGCATCTTCTCATGTAGCGCTCTTTCTAAATAGGGTGTAGGGGAAACCCTGGTAACCCAGCCTACCTTGCAGTCTGCAACGCATAACAAATGGTCCTGTTTCTTCGTTGTAATAGAAGTTTGAGTCCTTACAGCAATCCGGGAGACCCCGCCAAGTGGACCAAAAAGAGGTTCAGAACCACGGCGCGGGTGGGGTGGGGCTCCTATCCCTTTTTACAGCCCCTCAGTCTGGTGGCCCATCCATCTAACACGACTGTCTTACCATCCGCGGATACCTTCTTGGGTTTTGAAGGGAAACAGCTATGCCAGGAATTTTATATGAGCAGCGGGTGCTGAGTCAGCGTTGATCTGGTGTATATTTTCCTACCAGCCTGATGAGACAAGTCACCGGATTATTTCCCACCTTCCGGAGCCAGAAGCCCTGCATGGGAAGGAGAGTCAGCCTGTCCCGGTGCACACGGAGAGTCTGTGTCAAAGGCAAGGGAAAAACTCCCTCGTTTTCCATGCCATCCCTCAGCGAATGCTTTCTGTAGGTAAAAATAGTCCTGAGTTATGACCAGCTTTGGGAAGAGGTGGGGGGAGGCCTCTGCCAGAGCTCTTCCTCATCAAGGGACAAATTGAGGCTGGCCCCGGTTCTGGTTCCGCCCGTACCAAGGGGCGATGTGGATGAGCCTCCCAGAGCCTAAAATGTGGATGCTCGGGGACAGCGTTGTGCCTCCCAGCATGCCCCCAGCAGCGAGCCGAATGGGCACCCAAAGCCAGACCCAGGAAGAGGGGGAAGCAAGAGAGACACCGGCCCTGCACCTGCACGACCCTGGCCTCGAGCACCTGCCCGCTTCGCCCCCGGGCCTCCCCAAAGACACCATGAAGTGCTACGGAGGATTATCTAACAAGACAGGCTGGAACCTCCACCGAGTGCAATTCGTCAAACCATCACATAGTTAGCAGTAAATGCGCAAG